TGGGAATAGAATATAAGTTTGAGGATGAAACTTTTTAATTGGAAAATCAGTCAATAGAATGAACTTATGTTAACATTAGAGAATGTTATCCTATAAAAGAAAAAATGATAGGTTAACACAGAAATGGGACAACCACATTCAATTTTCAATCAAATCATTTCAAAAAATAGTGCATATAGACAGAGAAATTGAATCTCTCATTGGAACTCAGGTATCGAACGCAAAAATTCTATACAGGATAAAGTTTTTCGTTTGGCAAATGTTGAAGGGAAGGTTATATGTTTTAAAATACTTACGCAAATGCAACTTTTCACAATCTATAGTAAATTAATACCATTTTTTACGACATGAACCATAAAAATTAATCACCTCTTTGTAAATGCAAGACACCTTGGACAATTTGGACAGAAGCCTTAATTGATTGGGGAATTTTATGTGTTGTCTAGAGGATGTCTTTCTTATTAGAAAAAAAAAATTAATTTAATAATATATTTAAATTTAAAGATAAAGTTATAATCGTACCAAATGCACCATAATAGCTATTGGTCTTAATTATAGATTAGAAGAACTACAAAAACAATTAATCACACAAAGATATCCCATTACCTCTTAATTATTAATTAGTTTATCATGTTAGAAAGAAATCTTATTTTAATATAAATTACTTCACTTCAAATAAAATTACACCTTTAGTATTTAATGAAAAATGGCATTGGGGCATGTTTTTAATAAAATTACTCCCTTAATATATTAATAAAAAAGTGAAGTTGGACCCATGCATATAAACAATAACATTTAAAATTTTGAAGTTATATTCTTTAAAATAAAATATTATTGATGATTTTTAATGTTTAAACTATATAAAAATTTATATATTATGTTAAATATTGTACTTTTTCAATTACAAATTAGCTAAGGATATATAGCTTGGGTTAGATAACATTCCCTTCAAAACTGTATAATATTTTCAAACTCCTCTGACGTTTAAAATTATCTTTTGATTTCAAGAAAATATTAGAGTTCCAAAAATTTCAGAAAAATCCCAGAATTTCTTCAAGATAATATTGAAGATATGATAGATAATTTATTAAATTAAATATTGAATAGGACATTTTTGCTAATAGAAATAACCTGAACTACTTATGTCTTTTAACTATTAATTAATAGTAATTTGTAAGTTCCAAGATGAATTCCTCAGAATCTTTGGAGGGGTGGATATTGGTGTCTAGTTTGAGCCGTGACGGGCACTCTGCCATGTGAATGGTCATATATGTCGACATGGTATTTCCAAGTTCCAAAATAATTAACCAAGGCCGGAAGCATATCCTTCCACCAAAGAAAAAAATGTCACCTTCTTGTCCTATAAAATATATATACATGCAGACGCCAGGATAATCATATATACATATATGCATGTAAAAACTCACATCTGTGTAGATGCTGTATACTATGCCCTGCAAGCATCAGCTTCAGCAGCAACTCGTACCTGTAATTGTAAGTCTGATATATTCATTGACAAATTAAATTATAACTAAATATTACACCATTATGTATCTGCACTTAATATATTTATGTTATGAATTAATTATTTCATTAATTTAGAAGTGTATGTGTACACGTGTATGTTAGATATATATATGGTCATGCTAAACGAACCCGATTAATATGATTTTGCCTGCAACAGCAGTAAATTACATTGAGTACCTTTAGTCAATTGTTTCATGCATGCACATACCAGAATAGAAATTTTTAGTTTTCAGATTTAAACAACAACCCCTTACTGTCCAATATTATATTGAAACTTTCTTGTTAAATTACATCACTAACATAATTATTTAGATCTGTTTCTCGCAACGGATCCAGTCGAGAGCCTTGTTAAAATGCGTCGCCTTAGCGTCCAGATACTCCTCCCATGTCACCGCTCGATATAGTGGAGGATGGTCAACGTCCGTCAACTTAATCAACGGTGAGATCTTCGTGTTCTTTGGCGGGTTGTAGAAGTAGGCTACCGATATGCGGTGACGTGTCCTGTTCACGGCCGCACGGTGCAGGACGTTTCTGAAGAGGGAATTGGTGGTTATATGCATCAAGGTCACCAACGTTGACAACGAGCGAATCGGATACGGGTTCCACCGGGACCCACCCGAGATTTTCCTTGAGGACTTGGAGGCCGCTGACGTTGCCTTGGTAGAGCAAAGTGAGAAGCGATGAGTCGTTGTGCGGGGCCAGACCCATGGCTCGATCCGGATCCGGGCAGACCGGGTAGGAGTTGAGTTGGAGAGCAGATTGGGCTTGAAGAGAGGATCTGGTTTTGGTCACGGGCAGACCCAGTGACATAAGCATCAACCTAATTATTTTCTGGCTTAGTCCCTTCATCAACTTCTGGTACTCTTCCATTATACTGCTGCATAAATATATATATATATGGATATATACACACACGCATATATCACGCTGGTGGTTGTGAACGTTTAAAAATTACTATTGAATAAAAAAAATTTAACTAACATGAATATTTTAGTACGTAACTTTGTAAGTAAATAAACTAAATGAATATATTATTAATAACAAAAATATTATATCTAAAAAATATTCTACCTTTTCTGTCCACAGATGTCTGAACCTGCGGTTTCAGTTGCCTGTTTCTATTTTTCACTTTTCTTGCATTTTTCTGCCTGATTTAATTGTTAATATTATTAGTTTATATTCCTATATTATATATTAAAATTTAATAATATTTATTATAGAAGGTGTTTCATTTAATTTATTTTTTTAGATACAATTGTTATAAATAAAATAAAATAAAAGCTTTCAAAACCAACTAAACCTTTTAATATTGTTAGACAAATTTTGTAACGACCTAGAAAATTTCAAAGAAAATAAATCATAAATTAAGTTCAGAAGTAAAATAATTAGTTAGGATTTACATTTTTTACACAATAACTTAAAATACCAAATATTATTACGGGAATTACCCTTTGAAGAAAAATACAAAAAATTAAAGAAATAAACAGAAAATAAATAAAACTAGCATCCTACTCGCAACTCTCTTGTAGATCGGGCTCTAAATTCTGGTTCTCTTGATTTGAAATTGTTAATAAAAGAATGAGTTACACTAATCCAATAAAAATATCACGCTACTCACTAACACAGAAATGAAGGTTGGTAAAAAAATTAAAACAACAAATAGAGCTCTTAATTAATCAAATTCATTTATCATAACAAAATCGTTTACCGTCTAGTTACCGTAACGAGATTTACAAAAATAAACTGTAGAGTCAATAACATAACACATATCATGATTTCATATGCAATCGGTTAGAACAATAGTTTCTCTTTTATCAGTCTACTGGTACCCATGAGGGTTCATAGGGATGTTCCCACAACGCGTAAACTCTTTCCTTTAACATTTTCAATTAATGGGTCGTTCCCATATCACGTCCAATGTAAGTGCCAAATTACAAAACCTCAATACCCCGTCCGGTATGTGTAACAACCCCGGAAATAGCCAAAAGAAACATATAATAACTTAAGTGTGAAAGCAAAATAAAAGGTTAACGTTTACATTCCTTATACAATAACTTAAAAGTACTAAACAGCATTACGCAATTTATTCTTTGAAAGAAACACGAGAAATAAGGAAACAAATGGAAAATAGAAAATATCTAGCATCTACTCGCAATCTTTTTGCGGATCAGGCTCTGAAATCTGGTCCTCTTGATCTGAAATGGTTAAATAAAGAATGAGCTACATTAGCCCAGTAAAGATATCACACTATATCACCGACACAGAAATGAAGATTGGTATAAAATTGAAAACCACTAATGAAGCATTAAATTTAAAAAAATTCATTTATCAATCATAAAATTATTTCACGTTCACTTACCATCGTGAAATTTAGGAAAATAACTTGTAAGAACAATAATATCATATAGACCAATATCTCATGCATAATCAACCATCATAGTACATATTATAAATCCATATCCATTATCAATAAACCAAACAATAACTATTACTCTTTTCACCAGTCTACTGGTATCTATGGGTGTTCATAGGGATTTTTTCGCTACACATGAACCTTTTCATTTATCATTCTCAATCATAGGCCGTCCTCATACTCCGTCCGGTACGAGTGCTAATTTACCAAACCTCAATACCCCGTTCTGTATGAGGGTGAAGCGAGTCGTCCCCATACCTCATCCGGTATGAGCACTAAATTATCAAGTCTCTATACCCCATCCGGTATGAGACAACGTTCACAGTAGGGTTCCCTATGTATCCGGTCCATCCACCATCTCCCAGGATATCCAATAAGACTGCATTTTCATTTAATCATTTAATCACACAATTTCTTTACCGTTTAAACTTCATTTTTCTCGATTCAGCAGTAAACACGTAAAATAAACTATACATGCGTTCAAAGCCATAAAATAAATAAATAAGATACCATCATGTAGGTAAACTGTAAAAACAATCAACAACAACAGTAGATAATTTTCGGTTCCAGCTCTATTAGCAACTTGTAATTAATTATGCATGTTTACTAAAATCGCACAAAATACCATATTATTATTTATTTAAAATTCAGTTCTACGATAGAGAATAGGGTGAGGGAACCTTACATAATTTGATGCTAAAAAAGCTAAACGATTTACTGCAACTATGGGCGTTCCTTGGGTTCCCTGAATTTTTCTCCGAAAATTGAAATGCTCTAATAGTACCTATAATTGTTCCAAATAAATACAAAATCAGTCCCAGGTCCCACTCGACCAATTTCAAAAGTCTGGCACGGTGGCTCTGTCGTGCTCTGCCGACGATGCCGCTGCCTGTGGCGGTAGTCCGCCTCGGGTTGGCAATTTTTGGTCGTTTTTGTCTGAATTCAGCCGATTTTGCATCGATTCCTATGAGCAAACACGTTAAAGGCCATCGATTGGTCGAAAAAATACGAAAAATTGAAACTCACCGGCGGTGGGACTCTCCGGTGCGGTGGCTCCTCCAGCTCACGTTGCGGTTAGGTGTTTTGCGGTCAACTTGTAGAGAAGAAAATAGTGATCACAAAGGTGAAAAAATTACACGAAACGGGAATCGAGAAGGGCCTCATCGGAGGCGTTTTGTGAAATTCTCCGCGGCTGTGCCGCCGGGCTTCGCTGGTGTTTTCCGACCAATTGACCAGTCTTTTCACTCTTATTTGTCCATGGTGAGCTTAAAATTAAATTTTGTGTAAAAAGAAAAGTTTTTACCTTTTTTGGCGATCGAAAAGGGTTCCGGTGCGGCAACGGGTGGCGGTGGTCAACTCCTCGGTGAGGGGTTCTGACAGTTAGGGTTAGGGTTTGGTGCGGATGGAGGTTATTTATATCCATTCACTTTTGATCTTGATCGTCCATCAAGTTTGATCTAGACCGTTCATTGCGATCCAATCTGGGTCGTCAATTGCGATCCACTCAGGACCGTCCGATCGCGTTTGAATCTGGTCGTTTGATCGCATTTAGGAGGGAGCGCATCCAGGCCGTCCGTGCACGCGGGAGCAGACCTTAATCGTTCGATCGTAGGCACACGGATCGCCCATGGGGCCCCCCCGTGTGGCTTCCCGCATCAGTGTCTCTGCCACTTGGCACGTCCTAGTTGGTCAAAGCTGCTGACCCGGCGTCTAACGTGGCGATTGAAACGGGCAGGGTAGCCTGCTTGCATTGCCACCAGCGGTCTACTTCTCCTACCAGCATGTAGGTAACAAGGATGACTTTCTATTCGGGAATCACCCCAAGCGTCGTGAAGGCCTTCTCTGTCTCAGCTAACCAGTACTCAGCCTCTTCAAATGAGGATCCCCCTGCAAAAGTAGATGAGTTTAGTATTTTATACCTCTCGATGTAGTCTAGGTCCATCATAAGAGAAGCTGGGTCCCGTGGAAGAGTGACTGGACTGTGCTGATGATGTACTGGATGGCCCTGTGGTGGTACTGGATGATACGGTGGGGGCATTGTATTGTACTGTGGTGGTTCCGGGTGATGCAGTTGGGGCACCAGGCCATAATGTGGTGGTGCCAAGTGGTACTGTGGCTGGGGCACCGGATCATACTGTGATGGTGCCGGGTGGTACTGTGAAGGAGTAGGGTCGTACCGAGGTGGCTCGAGATCCTCTCGCTGTAGAGGTGGCTCAACCTATGGTAGCAGGAGAGGGTCAGGTAGCTCCCTCCTTTCCTCTCAGGCTTGTTGGGCAGTGATAAGTCTCTCCACCATCTCAAATAACCAGTCAACATCCTCTCATAACGAACCCTCTTGGACTGCTCGGTTTAGTGGGGGTCTTCCTCTCCTCATCTATCTCTACCTGCATTTCACAAGGAATAGTTGAGTAATAATTCATTGTTTTTGGTGTTTCCTAAGGATTTATGTAAGGAATAGGTCCGAGGAACGCGGCTCTAATACCATCTGTAACGACCCAAAAAATTTTAAAAGAAATAAATCATAAATTAAGTGCGAAAGTCAAATAATTAGTTAGAGTTTACATTCCTTACATAATAACTTAAAGTACCAAATAGTGCCACGAGAATTACCCTTTGAAGAAAAATTAAAAAAAAATAAGAAAATAAACAGAAAATAAATCAAACTAGCATCCTACTCGCAACCCTCTTGTGAATCAGGCTCTGGATCTTGATCTTCTTGATCTCAAATAGTTAATAAAAAAATTAGCTACACTAGTCTAGTAAGAATATCAGGCTACTCACCGACATAGAAATTAAAGTTGGTAGAAAAATTAAAACAACAAATAAAGCTCTTAATTAATCAAAGTCATTTATCATAACAAAATCGTTTACCGTCTACTTACCGTAGCGAGATTCACAAAAACAACCTGTACAGTTAATAACATAACACATATCATGATTTCATATGCAATCGGTTGGAACAATAGTTTCTCTTTTATCAGCGTACTAGTATCCATGGGGGTTCATAAGGATGTCCCCACAATGCGTGAACTCTTTCCTTTAATATTTTCAATTAACGGGTCGTCCCCATACCCCGTCCGGTATGAGCACCAAATTACAAAATCTCAATACTCCGTTCTGTATAAGGGTGAAACGGGTCATCCCCATACCCGTTTAGTATGAGCACCAAATTACCAAACCTCGATACCCCATCCGGTATGAGGCAACGTTCACAGTAGGGTTCCTTATGTACCCGATCCGTCTACCATCTTCCAGAATATCCAGTACGGCTACTATGTCGTCCATTCACTTAATCACAGTATTTTCTATTTACCTTAAATCTCTAGTTTTCCAATTCAACCGTAATCACATAAAACAAACACAACATGCATCAGGGAATGCAATCACATCTTAGTTTCTAAATTTAACAATAGTCACATAAGGCAGCAATACATGCATTCAAAACCATAAAATCGATCAATCAG